AAAGCTGCAGCAACATGACATGCCGCTCCCCAAACCCACCTCCGAGGAGCGCAGCAGGGGCTGCGAGATCTCTGCCGGCCGCCACTTACCGACACCCAATGGGACGACATCTCGACCTCTTTTTGGTCTCCTCTTAACATTTCTAGAGGACGAGATGTGGCCAGAGGAGCTTCAGGGGCGATGGCGAGCTGCAGCCCAGCATGAACCCGTGCGGCCGCTTCACGTGCCGGGCGAACGATAGGAGCAACAGCAACACGTGCAACTGCTCCATTGCTGATGAGCCCAGGCAGCCCTTCGATGAGGTGGCCAATGGATACGGCTTCAAAACCTGCGCCTATGGTGGGTTGCTAGTGGTGAATCATAGCCGGCTAGCATAGAGTGCTCAAGGTGTATACCACATGTTGGGTGTAACTTTCTAACGTGCGGCGATGGTGAGCTTTTTCGTGGTCATAACAGTTCCTCGTCACAACATGCTGGTATGTCTTTTTAAGCATCCTCTCTCAACCAGCCACCAATATATTGGGCCCCCAGTAATGGTGGTCCATCCCACACGTTGGTCTGTGCATATCGTTGCAAGCCTCTTCACCTATCATCAACTTTATTTCTCGACTCTTTCCTTGCCCCTCTCTCTTTCTCTCTCTCTCTCTTGCACCCTCCCTCCCTCCCTTCCAGTGGATGTATGCAGCTCTTACTTCAGAAACCCCTGCGCCGTGGGCACATGCATCAACCAAGGCAAGGGCTCTTACTCTTGCATCTGCCCTCCGCACCACATGGAGAGCACAACCGTTGACAACTTCCCCACCTGCGATCCAGGTCATACTTTGCGGGAGGGTAGCTAGCACTCTCAGTCTCCTTTGTACCCCGTATTGCTTTGTTGATGTTCGTGGCATTCCACTTCCAGAGTATGGCCCTGCGATGCACGTGGGACTAGTCATGCTAGCCTTCCTAATGCCCTCCCACTCAGCGCCTCCCCCTTCTCTAAATTTTGACTCTTTTCCGCCAACACCACAGCTACCACCATGGCAGTCAGTGGGAGAAACTGGTGGTGCTCCGATGTGCTGCCTTTTGTGGGCCTCTCACTTGCCCAACTCGTGCAGCACAACGTGGTGAGGAGGGGACACATCTGAGCATGGGGAAATGGAGAGGTGTGCAGGGCTGGGTTGAGCAGGGGACACATGGCTCGCATCGTGTGTGAATGTTTTTTTAATATTCGGTGGCTTCTTATGGTAGACCGGACGTTGATGTTCTCTTTGTTCAAAGTCCTAAAAGCTTTGCCAATGCTCCTCGATTCAGGCCATCAACTGCAACCAGCCTCTGCCGCGTGACACGGTGCTTCATCTGGGGAGTTGGTCCATCATTCCCTGCTCTGCCTTCTTCTACACCCTCCATGTGAGCATTCGCCCCCATGGGTGCAGTTTGTTCATGTCACTGCTCTCCATCCCAGTGCGGCATCCCATCACACCAATTCATGCTTTCCACACTCCCTCGCTCCCTCACCTCACCCTACTTCATCATCATGCACCGGGTCCGTACTGACGTGCTCCTTTCATTTTCCACATCTGTCTCTTCTCTCCCCCTGTCAACCCTCCAGAGCGACATGTGTTCATCCATGACCTCCCAGCTGGCACTCACAGCCACCAGCCTCGCGGCTCTCAATCCCGGCCTCCACTGCTCGGAGCCCATCAAGGCGGGCCGCTCTCTGTGCCTTGAGCGCAGCACCGCCTTTGCCTTCGCCGTCCCTCAGTGCGTGCAGTACGGCGTGCTCAGAGCCCAGGACATGTGCGAGCACCTGCTGCTGCAGGCGGCGGGGAGTGAGGGCGACCCCGCGGGGGACGGGAAGGTGAACGCCACCCAGTGGGCGGAGCTGTACCGCAACAACCCCGAGCTCATCTGCGTGCCCGTCATCCCTGTCTCCGCCTCTGTTGTTGGCAGCAACACTGGCGTGCAGGTGAGGTGGGGGGCAGGAGGGCAAGCATGGTGGTGGAGAGGAAACCACTGGACTACTGGTGGGTCTGATGGGTAGGCGAACAGAGTGTCATGGCTCTTATGCTGTTGCTTGAACCATCTCTACCTAGTTCGTAGCATGCTCACTCATTCCCATGGTTTGTCCTTGATCCTTTATACAGTGTTACATGTATTCTATTTTCCTATGACTTGTATTTGGCCTACCCCTCCTGTGTGCCCCATTCATACATGAGCCCACTATATGCAATGCATGCATTTCACAAGTGCAGATTTGCCTCAGAGCAGACTACTTGCCATTTGTTGTCGGCTTCTGCAAGGAGGGCATGCCAAAGCCAGTGTCGCCATCACTGACGTGCACGGGTGCCTATAGGTTGTAAAGTGGAGTTCAGAATGGAGCCATTTCTAAATTCGCTACTCACAATGAGAAGACTGTTATGAAGCTAGGTTAGCTAGGAAGGTAGGCGGCCATGAAATGGCGAGAGGTTTAGGAGCTAGGAGAGAAAGTTACAAGAGAAAAGAGAGCAACTAGAAGAGAGAGAGGCATACAAGGAGGGGGGTTGTACCCTCTACAGTAAAGTTCAATAACCTACCAAGCCTACCAATTATATAACACATTATATATTTTAACACATCTTCTAGGCTTGGTAGTCACAAGCCCACCCAACACACACACCCCCTAACCCCTTACACCCCCAAGCTCGTGATCAGCCGGGTATCTACCCCTTGGGCTTGGCATGGTGACATCCCCCGGCGAGAGGCAGCGCGGGCTACGTCCATGGCTGAAGGCTCTTGGCGGTGTGGTACGGCGAGGCGACGACCGGGTAGAAGACAGCAGCTGCGGCAGGAGGAAGAGGAGACGCAGGGGAAGGGGGCGGAGGGGCGAATCTTCAGCCACGCGCCATGGCTGGCGCGGCGCTTACTAGCGGACGAATCTTCAGCGGTGTGCCATGGGTGGCGCAGCGTTTACTGGCGGGAGGGCGTCACGGCTGGCGCCTGGGACAGGGCGCTGGCCGCAGCCATCCGTGCGCTGGCGCGGCGAAGCCGCCACGGTAGCACGACGGCACAGCGGCACGGCGCCCCAGCAGCATGGCGGCACGATGACATGGCGGCACGGCATCGCTGAGGCACGGCGGCACGGCTCAGCGTCTCGGCGGCGCAGAGTGACGGGGCCGGCGCGGCGTGACGGGCCAGCGGAGAGTGACGGGGCCGGCGCGGCGTGACGGGGCTGGCGTAGAGTGACGGGGCCGGCGCTAGGTGACGAGGCCCGCGCGAAGTTACGGGGCCGGCGCGGAGTGAGGGGGGCCAGCACGGCGTGACGGGGCCAGCACGGAGGGACGGGGCCAGCACGGCATGACGGGGCCAGAACGGCGTGACGGGGCCAGCGCGGCGTGACGGGGCCAGCGCGGCGTGACAGGGCCAGCGCGGCATGACGGGGCCAGCACGGCGTGACGGGGCCAGCGTGGCATGACGGGGGGGAGTACGCTGCGGAAGCGTGAGGAGAAGGCCCGAGCGAAAGTGGCCTGCTCTGATACCATGTTATGAAGCTAGGTTAGCTAGGAAGGTAGGCGGCCATGAAATGGCGAGAGGTTTAGGAGCTAGGAGAGAAAGTTACAAGAGAAAAGAGAGCAACTAGAAGAGAGAGAGGCATACAAGGAGGGGGGTTGTACCCTCTACAGTAAAGTTCAATAACCTACCAAGCCTACAAATTATATAACACATTATATAATTTAACAAAGACGTGCGTTGGGGCTGTAGGATCCAGGTTTATCTATGTGCCATAGTCTGCCGTAATCCTTCCAGTAAATGTCCAGTTGCTAATTTCTCTCATACGGTGCTTCTCTGAGTGGACCAAAACTGGTTTTGAGGAATCAGGGTGTCAAGAGGATGCCATGCTGTCTGTCTCCCTCCCAGGTTGAGAATCATTCCACCTTGCTGATACCGTATTCCCCCGGATAAAACACCTGCCGGAATTAATCACCCATGGGTGGTTTGGGCGGACCTGGGTGCTTTATTAAACTGGATATTCATACCACCCTAGTTTTTGGCATGAAACCTATACACCACCCCCCTGGTTAATTTTCAATGGATTTCTGTAGATTTTGCCTCTTATTCGAGTGTCTCTTATCAGACTCGCGCGTCACTGAGCAGTGCAAGCTCGATGCAAAGTGGTTCAATGTCGTGTAGAACTGTTACCATGCCTGGAATTCCCGAGTATCAGGCGAATGTTGCGAGATTGATACTGTACGAGGCTCATGGGAGGTTGCGACTTGCCACCACGATACTGTACAAGCCTGATTCCCGTCGAGGTTGCCACTTGCCACCACGATTCGACAGAACGTGACAACATGTGACGCAGGCAACCTATGACTGTTTGCCTGCAACGTGGCATGACGATGGTCGTCCTCACCAGGCCCCCAGAAGTCAGGAAAATTTTCCTGATTCAGGAAAAAAACAGGGTGTTGAGGGGTACCAGTCCTGATTTGCTAGGGTTTTGTTTTTGGCATTTCCTGAAATTTCAGGGTTTTTTTGTAAGGGATATCTGTTAGCTCAGTTTTTTTTTGTAAGGGATCCTGAAATTTCGGACTTGTATCAAGCATGGGTTCTGAGGCTCTGCGAGGGAAGAGATTCCCTCCGCCCCTGCAATCTCGTCGCCTCCCCCCCCCCCCCCTACTCAGCCCTCCCCCCTCTCCCCCCCACCAATTGTCGATTCCTGCCCATCCCCCAATCTCGCCCAACGCGCAAGAATTCGCTACGAATTCCCAGCACCCTCAACAATCAAGACTTGAACACACATAATCCATAAACTAAAATATGTATAGAAACCTTGAGAAATCAGGATTTTTTTTTAAAGTAATTCTGATGGCTCAGGATTTTTTTTGGGGGGACCCTGAAAATTCGGAATTTTTTGAAGGGAGAATCCTGATGGATCAGGAAGCCTCAAAACCAATCTAGGGCCCTGGTCCTCACCATATACGCGATCACGTGCAAGAATCGTCAAAATTCGGCACAAAAGAACTGTCTACAACACAGTTCAATTCCAGTTCATAAACATAAAATTGTCATTCCATAGCCCCCGGGCGTTATACAAAAAGTGCCACTAATTACACCCCCACTAAAATTTGCATCAAAATTTAGTGCCACCCGTGGGTGTTTTATCTGGGGGAATACGGTATCAGGGAATACATTCAAACATGCTAGCCCAAGGGAAATCTACATTTTTTATCCAGAACTGCAACGCTGCTTAGCAGCAGCCGTTCAAGCAGCCTTCAAAGAGCCGTTGGCTTGCTCCTCAGCGCTTCGCAAATCCCACTCTACCAGCGCCCTCTCCTGCTCGTACGCCCCTCCGTGCTGCTGCTGCTGCAGAAGCTGGAATGAAGGGGTCACCCGTTGGGAGAGTGGGTAGGGGTTGAAAGAAAGCAGAGAGGTGGAGCGCGTAGAGGGGGAGCGGGGGAAGGGGAGGTGAGAAGGGGTGAGGGAGGGGAGGAGTGAAGGCAGACATTGCGAAGGGAAGATCATGAGGCTGCATCCCGCACACACTGGCAGCCTGTCCGTCCCCCGCAGCAGGCCAAGCTCTTCCTGCTGAAGCAACAACGCAGGTTGGGTGCAAACAAGAAGACCCCCATGTACACTATGCAAGCAGGTTGCATACAAGAGAAGCCACAAGCTCCCTCGTTCGACAGCCAAGAGCGCCCAACTCACCTCGAGCGCCCAACTCACCTCGAGCGCCCAACTCACCTCGTGCGCCCAACTCACCTCGTGCGCCCAACTCACCTCGAGCAGCTGCTCAAGCAGCTTCTGCGGTATCGCCACCTCCCTGTTCCCCTCTCCTCCACTTCCGCCCTCGCCATTGCCCTCTCCCCCTCTCACATCCCCCCCTTCCCCTCCTCTCTCCCCTCCTCGCCCCACCCCCCGCACGAACCGGAACACGGCAGCAGCCTCCTCCGCACGGCGGTGCCGCACGCACGCCGCCAGCACGTCCACCATGGGCTCTGCCAGCACGGGCGGCGACAGGCGCGCTGACTGGGCCACCGGCTGGAAGAGCGTGGGGCGCACGGGCGGGCGGGCGGACGCCAGCATGTGGAAGAGCGTGAGCGCGTCCGTCAGGCGGTGGCGGCGCGCCAGGTGCTGCGCGAGCAGCATGGCCTCGCGGGGGGACGTGGAGGGCGAGTAGATGCCCATGGCGTGGCCCCACTTGAGCACCCGCAATGCGCACTCGTGCCCGTGGTGCTGCAGCTGCTGCTCTTGATTATGGGGCTGCTGCTGCTGCATGCCCCTGCTTCTGCCCGTCTCGCCTTCTCTCGCCCGCCCACTGCCTGTATCGTCCCTCTCCTCCTCTTCCACACCCCCAGGTCCATCCCCACCCCCAAGGCCGTCCCCACCCTCATTGGCACCTAGACCCCCCTCCCCTCCCCCCTCCCCTCCCCCATCTCCTCCCCCTCCGCCGCCCCCGCAGCCGTCCATGTGCATGAGGTGGCGCGCCACCATGCTGACGTCCTCGCTCTCCATCCATGCGCGCTGGGCGTTCAGCAGCCGCATGCCGTGGCTGGCGCGCATCTCGCCGTACGTCACCGCCACCCACCGCACCTTCTTCCTCCGCCACTCCCGCGCGCCCTCGCGCTGCCCCCACGCGCCCTGCCGCTGCAGCCACTTCTCAAACGACGGCGACTCCTCCTCCTCCAGAATCCTCTTGTGCCGCACCGACCGCCGCGTCGCCTCCGCTTTCGGGTGGTGGAGCTCGCTGCTCTCACTCCTGTCGCCGCGCCGTGTGCCGCGCTTGGCGTACTTGCCGCCGTTCTCTCCCCTGCTGGATGGGCTGCGCCTTGCAGCGCTCCGAGTGTCTTGTGGTAACTCCCCGCTGTAACGGAGCCATTCCTCCGCCCGACCCTGCTCAGCTGCGCTGCCCCTGCTCTCACGATTGCCCCTGCTGTCTCTGCTGCCCCTGCTGTCTCTGCTGCCCCTGCTGTCTCTGCCTCGGCTGCGGGGCTCTGACTCCGCGGAGATGAGCGCCGAAGCACTAAACCCGCGGAACGGAAGCGGGTGCCCGGTGAGCGGCGGAAGCCCAGGGGCTGACGGAAGCGCGCAGGAGGAATGTGGAGGAGGCGGAAGTAGCGCGTGATCGGGGGAGGCTGAATTAGGAGGAGCAGAGTGGTGGGAGAGGCTGCACGTGTGCGGAGAGACTCGCGGAAGGAAACCTGTTTGTACGACCGCGGATGCGCGCAGATTGCGCGCAACCAGGCGGGGGTCGTGCGGAAGCGCGGGAGGCTGCGAGAGCGGGGAGCGGAAGGCGGGCCGCGCGGCTGCGGATGGCGACGCGTGAGACGGGGGCGCGAGCAGACGGTGACAGGCGGCGGTGAGACGACGGAGAGCCGAGCGGCGACTCGACATGGGGTGAGGCGGCGAGATGCTGAGCGCGCGCTCGCCCTGGCCTGGTGGGCGGGACAGAGCGGCAGAGTTGAGGCGAATGGTCCAGTGGTGGACAGCCCGTGTTGATCTGTTCATGCGCTGCACAGTGCTTCGGAGGTACTCATTCAGGTGTGCGCGAGCAGAAGCACTGCGGGTTCAGAGCGATGAGAGGAACAGCATCGTTTCAGTCACGCTGAGGCAGAGCACGCGATGACACCAGGTGCACCAGAATCACAAAGTGCACTCCTACGTGAATCAGACTGCGTCTCACGTACGTCCTACTCAACAAGTTCGATTGCGGCGACGTCGCAGAAAGGTACCATGGCTGAGGGCTGAGGCTGACACGCGCGTCCGATTACGTTTAGTCTGTTGCGCGACAGTTCAAGGCGGTGAAACGCCATAAGCGTAGCGAGACGTGAGAAACCATCCTGAGGGCGAGTCACTGAAGCTGGTCCGATTGCGGTTTGAGGGGGTACTTCGCGTTCTGGGGCGTTCAAAAAGTTCTCTGGAAAGGTTGAGTACGGAATTCAACGAAAGCGTACCCTGGGGACCCGCCGTGATCCACGCTAAATGGACGAGCTGGACGCCATTTGACAGCCATCCACTTCTGTCGCTCGCTGTCACCACGTCACGTCACGAATCCTTTCGTGCAACGCCATTCCAACTCAGTCGTCCGCAGATATGTTTTAGGCTTGCCATGCGGCGCCAACCCAATGGTCCGCCCTCCTCGCCTGACCCCAGCGCTGGTCGAGCACTCATGGACGCGGCCTCAGGCTTGCGCGCATGAGGTAGTCGTTCACTAATGAACGCAGCGCCCTCCCGTTCCCCGCAATGGCCGCGGCGTTTCGCGCAAGCAGCCACACTCGATCGCTCGTCGCCGTCGTCGTCTTCCTCTCCGCGTCGCTCCTCCTCCTCCCCTTCTTCTCCTCCCGCCCTCTCTCCCGCCTCGCTTCCACGCCCCCATTCGCCACGTCATCCTCCGGTCAATCATCTGCCGTTCAAGCAGACTCCAGCCAACCGCTGCTTGACAGCTCGCAGCAGCTGATCGGCTCGTTGGTCCCGCAGTTAGTGCCAGTCGACGTGGCAGTGCCGCAGGAACGGCTCGCAGCGCGAGTGGAAGAGCTTTTGGCCGCTTGGGACCCGACACGTGGCGTTTCGCCTTCAAGAGAAACGGGTGGAAAAGGGAGAAGAGCGAGCGGAAGACGGAAAAAGCGGAGTAAGACCGCAGAGGGGGGAGCCGCCGCCAATGCAGCGGAGGCGGACGCAGCTTCCCCGTTAGACGCATCCGCGGAAGGACCGGGGGAGCTGGCGCAACCGCTCCCCCCCGGCCCGCCGGTCCCCCGCGCGCCCCATCTGGTGGATTGCGCGTTGAGCACGAGGCGGCATCGCAAGGAGTGGTGGGCGGCGCGGCCGCCGGATGGATCGCTGCCGCCCTGGGCGGCGGCGTGGGAGACGCGCGCCCATGCTTCCAAAGACCCGCGCGCCTATGAGATGCTTCCGCGCAGGGGGGGAGGGGGAGGCGGGATAGGGGAGGATGGGGAAAGGGATGGGGAGGGCGGGAAGGAGGATGAGGGGGAGCAGGGGAGGGAATTGAGGGAGGAACGTGATGGTGGCGGCTCAGGCTCTAACGCAGTAGCTGCTGCTGCTGGGGCTGCTGGGGCTGCTGGGCCTGCTGGGCTGGGCATCGCTGACTCTAACGCCCATACTGACATTAACGCCCTAACTGACGTGTCCCAGAGCTTCCCACTTACCACGGATGCTGACGTCATCATGGAGGGCCCGCAGCCACCGTGGGTGGAGGGGGGGGAGCGGGACAACGCGCCGCTGACCCGCCACGTGCAGGCGCACCTGTGGCGCCACCAGTTCCCCGCCAACTGCTCCCACCCCCACGTGCGGTGCGCTCTTCCTCTCCCCACCGCACTCCTTCCCTCTCGTTGTCCACCCGAATCCCATCCTCTTCCCCTCCATCCTCCACGCCGCAACCGCCCCTCGCCTCCCACTTTGGACCGCCCGGGGGTTGGCTGCCGTGCTTCATAACCGCCTCCCCACGCCCCTTCCGCTCCCCCCTTCCTCCCCATGGCTTTACAGTTTCCTGTGTGCTGCCTCTGAGCGCAGGAGGGGGAACTGCACAGTGCACTGCAGACCACACATGCCCTGCACCTTGCACATGCGGTGTGCAGTGCCGCAGCCCCCACCACCCGTCTCTCCCTTCCCCCCTCCTCCTCCCCAGCCCCTATACGGTTTCCTCGGCGCACTTCATGAGCGCACGGACGGGTGGATAAGCGCAGCAGCTTGCGTGCATGGCAGGAGCGCGTGGATAAGCGAAGCAGCTTGTCTGCATGGCAGGAGCACGTGGATAAGCGAAGCAGCTTGCATGCATGGCAGGAGCGGGTGGATAAGCGAAGCAGCTTGCGTGCATGGTAGGAGCTGGTGGATAAGCGAAGCAGCTTGTCTGCATGGCAGGAGCTGGTGGATAAGCGAAGCAGCTTGTCTGCATGGCAGGAGCGGGTGGATAAGCGAAGGAGCTTGTCTGCATGGCAGGAGCTGGTGGATAAGCGAAGCAGCTTGTCTGCATGGCAGGAGCTGGTGGATAAGCGAAGCAGCTTGCGTGCATGGCAGGAGCACGTGGATAAGCGAAGCAGCTTGCGTGCATGGCAGGAGCGCGTGGATAAGCGAAGCAGCTTGCATGCATGGCAGGAGCGCGTGGATAAGCGAAGCAGCTTGCATGCATGGCAGGAGCGGGTGGATAAGCGAAGCAGCTTGCGTGCATGGCAGGAGCGCGTGGATAAGCGAAGCAGCTTGCGTGCATGGCAGGAGCGGGTGGATAAGCGAAGCACCTTCTGTGCATGGCAGGAGCGGGTGGATAAGCGAAGCAGCTTGCGTGCATGGCAGGAGCTGGTGGATAAGCGAAGCAGCTTGTCTGCATGGCAGGAGCGGGTGGATAAGCGAAGAAGCTTGTGTGCATGGCAGGAGCACGTGGATAAGCGAAGCAGCTTGTCTGCATGGCAGGAGCGCGTGGATAAGCGAAGAAGCTTGTGAGCATGGCAGGAGCACGTGGATAAGCGAAGCAGCTTGCGTGCATGGCAGGAGCGCGTGGATAAGCGAAGCAGCTTGCATGCATGGCAGGAGCGGGTGGATAAGCGAAGCAGCTTGCGTGCATGGCAGGAGCTGGTGGATAAGCGAAACAGCTTGTCTGCATGGCAGGAGCTGGTGGATAAGCGAAGCAGCTTGCGTGCATGGCAGGAGCGCGTGGATAAGCGAAGCAGCTTGCGTGCATGGCAGGAGCGCGTGGATAAGCGAAGCAGCTTGCATGCATGGCAGGAGCGGGTGGATAAGCGAAGCAGCTTGCGTGCATGGCAGGAGGGGGTGGATAAGCGAAGCAGCTTGCGTGCATGGCAGGAGCGCGTGGATAAGCGAAGCAGCTTGCATGCATGGCAGGAGCGGGTGGATAAGCGAAGCAGCTTGCGTGCATGGCAGGAGCTGGTGGATAAGCGAAACAGCTTGTCTGCATGGCAGGAGCTGGTGGATAAGCGAAGCAGCTTGCGTGCATGGCAGGAGCGCGTGGATAAGCGAAGCAGCTTGCGTGCATGGCAGGAGCGCGTGGATAAGCGAAGCAGCTTGCATGCATGGCAGGAGCGGGTGGATAAGCGAAGCAGCTTGCGTGCATGGCAGGAGGGGGTGGATCCCGGTCCTCACCACCCGTCTTCCCGCTTTCACCGCGTCCCCCTTTTCCCCCTGCATGGTACACTTTCATGTTCGCAGCGTGCGAATGGAGGAGGCGGGACAGCTTTGTGAAGCAGCTAGCGCACGTGGCAGCAGCGTTAGGGCACGCGGTGCAGTGCATCAGCCCAGCCCCGCCCCCGATTCCCCCTGTGCCCCTCCTGTGCCCCCCCTGTGCCCCCCCTGTGCCCCCCCTGTGCCCCCCCTGTGCCCCCCCTGTGCCCCCCCTGTGCCCCCCCTGCGCGGTACAGCTTCATGTACGCAGCGTTGGAGCGGCGGAGGCGCGACGGCTTTGCGAAGCAGCTGGCGTTTATGGCGGCAGCGCTGGGGCACGCGGTGCAGCACGGGCGCGTGCTGGTGGTGAGGGTGTACGACCGCGCGCAGCACACGGGGTGTGCGGGGGAGTGCAACGCGCAGTGGCACTGCTACTTTCTCCCAGAGACGTCGGACGAGTGCAGGAGGTAAGGGACGGCTGGAAGGCTGAAAGGCTGGAGTGGGAAGGTGCAGTACACTCGTCAGTGCATGCCATCGCCTTCCCACTCCCTTCTGCTGCACCCCACCTCCCATTTCTTCTCCCCCATCTTTCCTCCCCACTCCCGCTATCCCCTATCCCATTCCCTTCCCCGCCCTCTCCCCTTCCCCCTTCCCCAACCCCCCCCCGTCCGCCTCCCCTGCCAGGAGAGTGAAGCAGCTGTCCGAGCTGCCTGCCAGCTATGCCGGCCCGGACCCCCTTATAGTCACGGGCCGCAGAGTCACAGACGCGCCTCTGGAGGAGTGGGGAGATGGGGAGGGGGAGGGGGAGGGGGATGGGGAGGAGGGAGATGGTGACATGTCAGATGCGGAGAACCCGACCAATCAAAGTTTGGAAGCAGGAAAGCCGGGCAGGGCAGGGTCAGCAGCGGATTATTTTCATGCGGAAGTGCCGACCGCGTGGGGGAAGCCGTGGCGGGAGATGGGGGAGGCAGTGGGAGTTGGAGGAGGGGGCGCTGCTGTGGGGGGTGATGGTGAGGAGAAGGTTGGTGGCGCAAGTAAAGGGATGCCCGCCCCGAGTCAGTTGAATCGGTGAGGTGGAGTCCATGCGCTCTGCTCTGCGCTCGCTAGACTCCTCTTTCTAGTGTCCCCCCCCTTTCCCCATCTTCCTCCCTTCCCTCGTGGCTCGACACATACAGCCGCGGACTCTGTGACCCCACCTCCCGCCTCTTCCTCCCTTCTCCCCTCCTTCCATTCTCCCATCGTCCCCCCCCAGTTCATCCGCCGTCCCCTGCCCCCTGCCCCAGGCAGCTCTGGTAGAGCCCAGGCCTCCGCCCAGTCTGCTGCTACTTTCACTCTCTCCCTTCCCCCTCTCTCCTCACGCCCTTCCCCGTACCACCCTCCCCCCTCTCTCCTTGCACCCTTTCCCCCCAGGCCCCAGCCTCAAGCGCCTGTTCGGCGAGTCCAGGCTCTGTGCGTCCCCCTCATGGCATGGCGCTCAACTAGGTTCACCAAGCCCCACTCCTCTCCCCCTCCCGTATCACACCCCCTCCTCCGCCCTCGCCCCCTTACCCCCTCCCCTTCCGCCCCCTCCCCTTCCCCCGCCCACCTCTCCCCCTTGCGGCGTGCCCTCTTCTCCCCCCCAGCGTCAAGCACCTCTGGTGGCGCGCCCAGGCTCTGCGCTTCCTCCTGCGCGCCCCCTCCCCCTACCTCTGCCACATCAGCAACGTGGTGCGGCACATGACGTTTGGGCCAATGGCAGCGCGGCTGGCTGCACTGGGGGAGCTGGCAGTGACTCAAGCTGACGTGGCAGGTGTGAGGGGTGAGCAGAGGGCGTGTGGGGTGGGCGCGTGGGAGGGAGCAGCGATGAAACGCGGTGAATGATCGGAGAGCACTTGGCCGTACCAGTTGCTGCTCCTCATGTGCAACTGGTTGCTCGCAGCACCCCTTTCTGTCTCTCAATGCACCCCCCTTTCTTCTCGCCGTGCCGCCTCACCTCTCCTCCATGCTCCCCCCTTGCTTCTATCTCTCTCTCCCACCATCCGCTCTCCACTGCTTTGGTGCCTGCCGTCAGAAGCAGGTGAAGGGCATCAGGTGCGGCAAGGGGAGAAGGAAGGGGATGAGATGCGACAGGAGCACAAGGAGGAGGCAGCGCAGCAGCAGCAGCAAGAAGAGGCACAGAGAGAAGAGGAGGACTATCAGCGACAGGAAGGGCTGCGGCGAAGACTGAAAGGGCAGCGGGGTAGTGGCCGGACTGCTGGCTTTATCTCTCTCGCCGCCACCAGCAGTGCCACTAACAGCCCTGGCAGCAATGACGTCCCCAATAAAAGCAGCTCCGCCACTGGCAACCTTGCTACAGCCAATAAGCCCACCTCCACTACAGCCTCCCACAGCCCCCCTACCATCAATGCTACAGCAAGCCCCGCGACTATGGAGGGCGACGTGTGGGCGCGGCACGTGCCTGTGTGGGTGCCGCGGCCGCTGGTGAGCGTGCACGTGGCGCGGCCCAGCAGGGCCAGCACGCCGGCATATGTGCGCACCGCCATGGCGCTCCTGCTGCTCCTGCGGCAGCAGCAGCCGTCAGCGCGCTTCGTGTGGCTCACTGCTGACGAGCAGGAGGTGAGGGGGAAATGGAGGAGGAGGTGAGGGGGAAATGGGGGAGGAGGTGAGGGGGAAATGGGGGAGGAGGTGAGGGGGAAATGGGGGAGGAGGTGAGGGGAAGGTGAAGGGGAGGGGAGAGGGAGGGGAGGGGGAGGTGAGGGGGAGGGGAGGGGAAGGGGAGGGGCAGAGATTGGAGAGGTTTTGGAAATTTCGGTCTTGAATTGGAGATTGGAGCATTGTGAGAGTGAAAAGAGGAAGTAGAGCAACCTTAAGTGAAGGGCACGGGGGTACGAGTTGACACGAGTGACCGTCAAGAGACGAGGAACAGTGAGGAGTGAGGAGTGAGGAGACGAGGAACAGTGAGGAGTGAGGAGTCAGGAGACGAGGAACAAGGTCGGCGGAAAATGAGCAGCTGAACAACAACGAGATGCACTTGAGCATAGTCGATCATCTTCCTGGTCGACACTTGACCACTCCTTGCCCTTGTTCCTTTCACTCTCGTCTTCCTCGTCATCCCATCATCCCACTTCTCGCAATCGCCCGTCCTTCCCCACTTCCCCACCCACCCCCCATCCTTCTCCCAGCCTCTGGAGCAGGTAGCAGCCACACCGGGATGGACGTGGCTCTACTCGCACACGCCCCGTGCGTCAAACTCCTCCGCCACTACCCCCGCTTCTCCTCCTCCCTCCTCCACGCGGGCCAAGCAGCAGCAGCTGCCGCTGCAAGTGGCGGTGGATGCAGCGTTTGCCAATCTGCTGGTGGCCGTGCAGGCAGATGCCTTCATCGGGTCAACCCTGTCACCCTGGTCATGCCTCGTCAACGCCCTCCGCTGCACGGGGGGGAAGCTTCAAAGCACCTTCTTGGACGTGGGACTGTGAGATGCTTGTGCCAGGCCAGTCGTGAGATAAAGACGCCTGGCTTCGCTAACACTTGAGTTGCCATGCATATCCAGTGGATGTGTGCCTTTTACCAAAATACCGGTAGGTGGATGGGCCGGGGAAGGGGATGCTGTGTGCCATTTCTGGTTGGCTATGTATGTTTGTACCGTAATGAAGAGAGAGAAGAGCGAACTTGCCTATGACAGAATATGTACAGTGCAATGAACCAAGAAAGAAACACTACATACCGTATTCCCCCGTATATAACACCCACCGAAATAGTCACTCCACGGGTGACATATGCGGGACAGCTTATGATATGGTACAGTTATGAGAGCACCCGTTTTTTAGACCTTGCATTGTACATAACACCCTCCAGCGTTTTTCCAAGTGAAATCCTAGTTTTTCCAAATTGTTCGAGCATCAGTTGCAGCAAATTACTAAGAGCATATCTACGGAACCTATGCTAGCTACACCTACATGGCGTACTCTACTGCGTCTACAATATGACATCAATTCTAGTCAATATTTACGTCTCTACTATCAATCGTCCTCCTCATATTCCTCTCCAGCATGCCACACCTCGGCATCTTCATCGTCGGAGGCAATATCATCCCAGTCGAAATCATCAGTCCAGCGGGACGCCGCTAGGCCAGCAAGAACCTCCGCCGCCAGCATCTCTCCACCATCGCCCTCGTCCTCTTCGCCAGCAGGGTCCTCTGCTCCTGTTGCTGCTGTTGCTGAGGCTTTTGCTGTTGCACATGCTGCCGTGTCCAAGGATGAGTCTGCTGCTGCTGCTGTTGCTCCTTCGACATCCGCCTGCGGCGTTCCAGAGGATGAGGCAGAAGCTGCAGCATCAATCTCGGTCTCCACATCTGGCTCGTCGTCCTCCACGTCTGGCGCAGCGCTGGGCTCGATGTACTCCACGTCGTAGAAGGGATTCTGCGCCCCAGTCTCCTCCATTTCAGCGTGCACATCGTCCATTACCTCGACCTCCGCGTCGTCCCGCATGTGGGCGAGAATCACCTCGTCCTCTGTGCCGTCGGTCGCGTTGGAGATGCCGCACGTCTTGAACGCGTGGCGGATGAGTTCTGCCGTCACCGCAACCCACGCGTCAGCAATCCACTGCAACACAAGCTCGGCCGGTGGTTTGCGCAGGTTCCCTGGCAGGCAGAAACAGAGAGGGCACGATAGTTAGTATTGAGTAAATAACGGGGCAAACGCTAAAAGACTAAAGAAGATAGTGTGAATCACACGACAAAATACTAATCACAGAATACACGTCGACAACAAAACATGTGCTCACCAGCTGTAGTGGTCGACTCGCAGCCGAACTCCTCAAACCACTCGCTGTACGATCGACGAACGTGCGCCTTGACGCAACGGTTCACTGCCACGTCCAAAGGCTGTACGATAGGCGTGCAGCCGCCCGGGAATGACTGCACAGGAGAGCTTGAACAAGCGCATCAACCGAGACACTCCCTCAGTGAGGTGTCCCTTGTACGAGTCGAGGACCACCAGCGCCTTCTGACGGCCACCACGCCTCGCAGGGATGGTGCGCAGGAATGGCACGAGGACGGTGGTGACCCAATCCTTCACATGCGCCTCATCCATCCAGCCCTTCTCCTGGGCTTTGATGACAATCCCTGCACATGCAAATAAAGCGACATAATTAGTTGTCGCCGTTATCTTGGTGGAAGAATATTCACTGAACGCAGGCGTAAATAGTTACAAACGATTATTACCTGGTGGGACTCGGATGCGCGGCAGAGTTTTCTACTTGAAGATGACATACGGCTTTAGTTTTTTGCCGCTTGCTGTGACTGCCAGCATGACGGTCAATCTCTCCTTCTCGTACCCAGCCGTCCGCACATGAACTGTTCTTGAACCGCGGACCTCGAGGGTGGTTTCCTGCGGCATCTCTAGGAAGGGTGGCGTCTGATCAGCGTTGATGATCAGGTCGTCGGGGTAGTCGTTTAGCATGCGGAGTTGCCGAACGAACTCCTAGAATTTCTCAACCTTGGCTTCACAGTCTGCCAGTATATAAAGCCGAGATACAAGAAAACAGAACATCATTACTAAAAGGCCAGGAAGCAACTCAGCTGACTGTAACAGGTGTCACTTCAACGCAGCATGGAAATAGAGTGGCAAGAGGGGAAAGACCACGAGATACACCGACGACAGCTAACCGACGGTCATGCGTTGGCCCATCTTTGTCTTTACGCGCTTCGTCAATCCCCAGCGGGCGCGGAACCGGAACGTCCAGCGCGAGGAGGCACGCCAGTCGACGCCGGGGTGGTGCTTCCTCATGTACTTCCGGCTCCATTTCTGCAGCGTGCTGATCGAGACAGCTAGCCCACGCGCGCGGTGTCCAAGGAACTTCTTGTAAATCTCTCGCTCCATCGTCGGGTACTTCGAATTTCTTCCAGAGCCGATGAGACGACGCCTGCAACCAGCAGCAGCAGTGAGGCGAGCCTTGTTTTTCTTCCAGTCACGAATCTGGCACAGCTGCACTCCAGCCATGCGAGCCAGAGAGCGCTTGGACAAATCCGTATCAGACTCCATCTTCGCCAGCCAGTAGAGCTTCTCAGTAGCCGTCCGCGCGACTCGCTTTCGATTCGTCCTGCGAACCCTGGGTGAGGGAGGTGCAGCATCACGGTTAACCCTGGGCATGGTAGGACGACGTTGTGCTTGTGGGAAACGGGGAACGACAACGCGAGGAAGCAGGCGGGGAGGTTCAGGCTCGCCGTCGGCGGCCTCCTCCCAGTAGAGCTCGTCATTGTCATCTTGCCACGCGTTGTCCCACTCCGGGGGACGAGTGGCTATTGGCGACCAATGACTAGGTGGAGCAGGAGGAGCGGGCGGCGCCGGTGGGGAGGAGGAGCAGGTGGCGCAGGTGGTGCAGGCGGGGCAGGTGGAGCAGGAGGTGCGGGAGCTGCCGTAGAAGTTCTTGGAGCGGGGGAAACTGGTGGAAACGGCCTAAGCAAAGTCTGGTTCCCAAACTGAGGGCGATGAGGTCGCAACAAGGCAATACCACTAACTGCTTGAGCGGCCATGGATCGAATGCTAGACAAAAAGGTATCGGTGCTACCGTAACTAGGCGACATTGAGAAATGCCCGAGCCTCTGTTAGAGAGCCCGGGCACTGCGACAGGTTTTGAGAGTGAGCGAGCCGATCGAAAAGCAAAAATGATGATGCGGCAAGAAGAGGTTGGAGAAGAACCGTGACCGACCCCCAAAGCCGAGTCGTGCACGGTCTTGGAAAGCGCGATGGGACAATGCATGCTGGTCCCATGTACCAGATTCCCTAAAGGAATCTGGTCAAGCACTTTGGCATGTCGATGTCAGGCTGGCACTATAATGGCCCCCTGTCCGTTGATGAATCTGTGTCAGCAGCATGAGGCAGCTTCCCTAGCGTGTTTGCAGGTGCGGCTGACTCCGATTGGCCACAAATACAGAATGCCAACACATAAGTGATAGGCTGGTCCTAGTGGAGGTGAGTGGCTGCCATCCAAACCTCGCTAAAAGCTACATTGTGTTTCATGCTTCTGATAGAGCCCGTTACAACCCAAATTCATTTTGCATTTTACATAAGACATGGGCGTTATATTTTTCTAGCCTACTCTTAACACCCATGCGTTTTTTTAATGAAATTTCGACAATATCTTAGGGTGTTATATACGGGGGAATAAGGTACATTTCTACATCTCTTGGGGGTGTCATTGCTGCGGACTCAACCCCTAGCCAAACCGGTTTGTCATTGCTGGTGGCAGCAGTGCCACCATCAGCCCTGCTGCAGAATCAACCCCTAGCCAAACCAGTCCCTTTAGTAGACTCCTAGCACACCAAATTGCATGGAGTATCAATTGCACCACACATCACTGCATGAGTCTGCCTAGAGGTCTTTCCTGCAGGCAGTGTCCCTCACAAACGGCCCAAAATATCCAGGTAAAATGTCCTGATTACTCTGATTTTCAGGGTACTTTTTCAAGTTAAGCTGATTTTTCAAGGTTTAAAGTTTTGTAACCCTGATTAAAAAAGTGTAGCAAATATTTTACCCTTTCAAAATCAGGGCTCGCGGCCCTCTGGCCCTGATGAATCAGAGCAGCGAGGCAACTACCCTGAAACACGAATCAGAGCACTGGTCCTTAGCCAAAATCAATGTTCCGTGCGTGCTGGGGGCTGTATGAGGGCGCTGAATGGTCCTTCGCCAAATCAGCGCTCGATGCGTACTGGGGGCTGTGTGAGGGCGCTGAATGGCCCTAAGTCAAAATCGACGCTCGATGCGTACTGGGGCTGTGTGAGAGCGCTGACTGGCCCTTCGCAACAAAACAGCACTCGATGCATACTGGGGGCTTTGTGAGGGCGCTGATCGGCCCTTAGCCAAAATCAGCGCTCAATGTGAGCTGGGGGGGCTGTGTGAGGGTTGCTGACTGGCCCTTCCCCAAGATTTTCTCCCAATTTGTGCTGGAGGAGAAGTGAGGGCGCCGATTGGTCCCAAACGTTTTTGCCGAGCTGGAGGATGTGTGTGCCAGCGGGTGAGGAAAGTGGCTCTGAATACCAAGTGTTATGAATGGAACTGCCGAGTAGTGCGGAGGGCAATGGCGAAACTATGAACGAGTGAATGACAATATAATGAAAGACAACACAATATATAGGAAACCTAAGATGTTCTTGGACGTAGGATTGGAAGGTTCGGGAAAAGTGTCGAACGGCCTCGATGTGTCGAAGCGAGGTCCGGTAAGGCCCAGGAGGCTCGAACTGAAAGGTCTGGAACCCTATCGCTGGTTCAGGACTGTTCGAGTCGTACGCCCTGTAGCAAGCCTCAGTAAGGAATGTCTAATTCCTTAAACCATGTTAAAGGAGAGCTTAGGAGCTAGGCATAGAACTAGTGAGAGGTTTAAGCTAGGGTAGGAGAAAGTTGACGAGAGAAAAGGGGTCAACTAGGAAAGAGAGAGAGGTACAAGAAGGGGGTTGTCCCCTCTACAGTAGGATCCAGCAATGTAGCAATCCTACCAAGCCTAAACATGTATATATATATGTATATATACTGTATATATATATAATTTAACAAGAGGTGCGGTGGGAAGGGTTGTGAGTGGGGATGAATGGAGCATTTGGAAATGGAGAGGGGGGATCGGAAATGGAAAGGAGAGAGGGAGAGGAGCAGCATCTTGGATCTGTGAGCAGGGCCCAAA